TCAAGAGAACTTTGTAGCTCTTCTTTACTCATCATCGTAAGATCCTTCGACTCGTTAATCGCCACAACTATGTTGTCAAATTTTGGTGTTAAAGAATGCAAGATTTTCGCGACAACATACTGCTCTGTAACAGTTTCTCCGCATGTCTTCACTCGATTCATCAACTGAGTGATTCTCATTATGAAGTCGTTGATTGTCTCATTCTCTTCCATTTAAATCAATTCAAGCTGAAGCTTGTGAGTTTGTAACCTCGCCAACTCCGCCTTGTTAGCCTCTGCATAAGCTTTCTCTAAGATCTTTTGCGTTTGCTTCAACTTTCTCGAAATTGTCGCCAACAAAACATTGATGGATCAAGAACAACGCCTTGAAATCTTTCTTCTTTTCTTGCTTATGCGATGCATGTTGCACCTTTGTTGCATTAGCTCGGAGAGGAGCAACATCATTCTGGATCACTTCAAGAACATCTTGGTAGTCAAACAACACCTTCATTTGGTTGCACCATTTTTCGTAGTTATTCGCATCAAGGATACGTAAATTTGAAGGGATTCTTTCATTGTAGACATAATTCATGTTGCACACTAGGTGTTTGTGGATCTGAATCAGGCTCAAGATGTCAAACGTTGGAACAAGCAACCATAAGATTGGTGAAACAATGGTGGAGAAATTTTGGATGTGGAGAGTGAAAGAGGAGAATTGTGTGTGTGTGTGTGTGTGTGTGTGTGTGTGTGTGTGTGTGTGTGTGAGAGAGAGAGAGAGAGAGAGAGAGAGAGAGAGAGAGAGAGAGAGAGAGATCTAATATTTTTATTAGCTAGGATGAGAGTGCATCCTAAACACTTATATAGGAGTTACAAAATAGTTGGGACATAAATTGACAAAGTACAATAACATACAATACAAAAAATCGGGGCTGTAACCGGTTACACCTAAGACTAAATTAGTTTGAAAATTAAAACAGTTTTAGTGGTAATCAGTTACACCAAATCTTATAACCGATTATATCAGTGAAAAATCTAATTTTCTACTACCAAAATACATCTCTTAACTTATTGTAATTGGCTACGCAGGTGGCAACCAATTAGAACACAAATTACTTCTAAAACCTCAACAAAAAAAAATTACATTCTCAAGAATAATTTGTTATGAACTAATTATAGCTAATTTTATTAGAATGTTGGAAAAATATACTATGAATATAAAAGGTTTGTGAGAATGAAATAAGCTTCCATAACTTCCATATTCACGGGTGAAAAGGTGAGAGTGTACAATTTTATATGATTTTTATGAAAGAAAAAAATATAACTACCAATTTTTTCAAGAACATCAAATTATATGTCAAACATTTTTTATTTATAAAAAAAACATACCCATGAATTAAATTTTGGTATTTTTATTTCTGGGTAACTTATTCCCGAGAATCCTTAAAACAATTCTGCAAAAAAAATTATATTATAATTTATTTCAAGTGACATATTATTTAAAATGTGACACATAAAATTATAAAAAGAGATCAAAACTCTTTGAATTTAAAATAAAAAAAATTAATTTTAAGAATCAATTGAAATAAATTGACCAAAGTTAAAATTGACTCTAATTTATTTTAATAAAAAGTAATTTAAACTTTTTTAATTCAATTTAAAATAAATTATGTAAAATAAAAATAAAAATCTGCATATCCATTTTATAAATAAATAAATAAAAATATAATGAATAAACTGACTAGCGTATCTTTTTACAGCAGCTGAGATATTAATTGCACAAATCTTTGAAAGATTTAGCAAAAATATCTCAACAGAATAGATTTAAAAAAGAGTTAAAATATTATCATAGATTCTATCTTTACTAATTAGGTGGAAACAGTTTTAAAAAAATAAAAAAGATTTAATCATCATTATTAAAATATATATAGGAAACTATAGTTTCACTCTTTCTCATTCTTTACTTTATTAACATTCTTTCTCATTCTTTACTTTATTAACATTTTCTTTTTAATTTATTTGATGAAGATGCTTTGTTTAGACCACAACTCTCACATTGATGAAAAATTGAGTGATTACGAGGATGATCTCTTTCAATTCTATCACTTTAACGAGTGTCAAATCATCCCCAACTCAAAAGGGTACAAAGTGGATTGTGAGATGAGAAAAAAGGTGATAGATTGGTTGATAGACTTTCATTATGATTTAGAACTTGAGTCGGAAACCCTATATCTTAGTGTCAACATTCTTGATCGTTTTCTTTCACAAAACAATTTTGAAGTGTTAATGATGGATGAATTTAAACTCATTGGTCTCGCCTCATTGCTCTTAGCTTCTAAATATGAACAAAGAAGTGTGGTCAGTATGGAATACTTAGTTGAGTACTCTTATACTCCCGATGAAATATATGGAATGGAGAATCTTATATTAAAAGAGATTGATTGGATTTTAACAGTTACTACAAAAAAGTTTTTTAATAGCGCTTTTTTTGCTTTTTAATAGCGCTTTAAAGCGCTATTAATCAAGGCGCTATTGTAAAACAAAATTTTTAATAGCGCTTTTAAAGCGCTATTATAGTTCTGGTAATTAATAGCGCTTTTTAAAAAGTGCTATTATAGGACCTGTATTTAATAGCGCTTTTACAAAACCGCTATTATAAGTCACATATTTGATAGCGCTTTAAAAAAAAACGCTATTATAGCACCGGTAATTTGCTTTAATTTTGATAGCACTTTCAAACAAAGCGCTATTATAGTACACATATTTAATAGCGCTTTCCAATAAAGCGCTATTATAAGACACATATTTAATAGCACTTTCAAACAAAGCGCTATTATAATCCACATATTCGATAGCACTTCCAAACAAAGCGCTATTGAAATACCGGTAAATTGCTTTAATTTTGATAGCACTTTCTAACAAAGCGCTATTATAGCACGCTCTCTTTAAAACGCTATTCTAATACACTTTTTTTTTACACCAAATCATTATATATATATATATATATATATATATATATATATATATATATATATATATATATATATATATATATATATATATATATATATATATATATATATATATATATATATATATATATATATATATATATATATATATATATATATATATATATATATATATATATATATATATATATATATATATATATATATATATATATATATATATATATATATATATATATGTATATATGTATATATATATATATGGCATTTGCATTTTACAACATTAGAATTCATAAAATAATTATAACTAAGTAGCTAAAATACTTGAAATTAAAATAATAATGACAAATGTGATACCATTAATTTGACTTAAGAGTACTTCAAACCAAAATATTTTATAAACACAACTAAAGTATTTTGTCATGTAGTTATTAATTTGGCTAAGAGTACTTCAAACCAAATTCCAAACAAAAAGTAAAATCACTTAGCTAGGCATATTCTCTAAACTAACGAAAAAAACATCTAAAAAAAAAGGACAACAAAAACAAAGAATCGAGCACGCTACCAACTATGGATATGATTATGATGTCTTCTTCACCACCTTGAAATCCATCAACAGAACGAACATTAACAGAAAACTTAGGATCTGAAATCATGTACTGCTTCACTTTCTCTTGGATTTCATGAACTTGTTGTGCCTTGTATGGAGATATGATACCTATGCTAACTCTACTCTTTGTCCTTACAAACTCTTCCACAAAAGCAAAAACATTACATAATGTATAATGTACTGTATTCATTATATACTCAATTATGCCAAATTTGATTAACAAACTTATTCATAGAAGAGAAAGAGAAACTAACCCCTTTTAAGTCTTCCAACAATCTCAGAGATAGCAGCAGCTTCAATCACATTCTTCAAACTATGGTCAGGATTACACTGCTCTTTGCCTTTAGATATGTTGATGAAAGAGTGTGAACCAAAAAGTTTTCCTTCAAGGAAACGTTTGTCATAGCTTTTTTCTCTTACAATCTCAGCATCAGAAAGTTGCTTATTATAGATGCTTATTATAGAACTCTTTGCATGGGAACATGCTGATGGATGGATGCATTCTATATTGGACATTAAGCATATGCTTCCTGTATCCCAACATTACTAGCCTCTCAAATAAGCTTCTTCCAAATTCAGCCCTGTCAGCAATCTGAAACAAACACAATAATCATAAGCCATAATAAAAATGTTACATGCAAAAAATCAATCTCTGTCTTATTTTTTTTAGTACCTTGCTTTTGACTATTGCAGGAAGTTGTTTCTCGTCACCAATGAGAATACAACGCTTGAGGCCAAATAGTTGCAACGGAATAGTTGATTCACATTCTTTGAGTTGAGCAGCTTCATCAATCACTAAGAACTCCACTTGTTTCATTCCTTCTGTGAACAATTTAGAAGAACTTGAAGCTGTACACAAAAGAATGCATGCATTCTTCAAGCAAAACTTTGATATTCCATGTTTTGTTGTAAGCTTAGGAAGCTCGGTCTTTGAAAGAAAACAAAGTGTCTCAAGTAACTCTTTTTCTAAACTTAACCATCCAAACCAAGCAAAAATGACTTTTCCATCTTCGCAATATTCATGAAATGCTTGTTTTTGTTTGCTTTGATTCATGGAAACTTCAAGAGAGTTTAGCAACTCAAGAACTTTAAACATCTTCATCACCATCTTAATTGGAAGCAAACATGTTGGTAAATGTGTAGACAAAGTTTTTATGAATGACTTCAACTTCTTTCCACCGGAACAAAAAGTTTGTCTTAAAAACTGTTCCATACTCATACCAACACTTAACTTTTCATCATCTTTATACATGTCATATCGCTCTATAATATAACCATATCTCTTCTTCACAAAATCCTCTGATGTCATAGAGGTTGCAGTAGCGATGCAGTTGTGAAATATACATGCAGTTGGTAGATGATGCAGCCAAAATTTGAATAGAAAAAACAACAAAAACCATGAGGCCACATCAACTGAATTTGATTATAAGACCTGAAGGAAGCTCAAAAAAGCATATGATGGATAAATAAATTGGTGATTCTTACAGTTGAATAAGGCTGCAACACTTTTTTAATTATATTCATGTTGGATCCTTCCATCTCCGAGTTCAAGGCTTTCCAAATACGAATATTTGTGGTCATGTTTATGAGATAAACAACATAGAGTTTCTGAGCTTTGTTCGTCCTCAAATCAAAGTTATTATGCATCTCCTTGGACAATAGTATAGTAATCTCTTCAGTAAATTCATCTCTTGATCCACAAATACAAGCCATAAGACAATATCTTTTGATCCTCATCAAGTCATCAGCACTTTTAGGTCGAATATTTGTGAATGCAACGAGATCACCAACCTCGGGTTCATATTTTCCTACGGTGTACACTTCATCAGCAATGTTCTTCAATGTAATTTTATAGAGTAACTCGTGCGGAGGATTGAATTTCTCCGATGTTTTCATTGTCCTAATTTCGCAAAAAGAAGCTTGAGGAACACTCAACAAGCTTGAATATAGATCACTATGTGTTTCCTCAATCAATGCAGGAAAGAATGAGTTCATGTAATCATTTGCTGAAGAGAAAGTTTTTGGAATCTTCGGTACCTGTGGGAAATTTAACAGCATTCCAAGTTACTTCACTAGGACATGGAAAATTCTTTCTAAGTAATAGCTACGATAGTATATGGTTGAGAAAATCCATGATTCTGTTTTTGAAGAAATTTGAGTACTTGAAAAGTGAAAAAAGAACCTGGTATGTGAAAAGATTTTCGTTGAGAAGATCGTCAAGAGTCCAAGAGAATACAATATGTATTAAGCTTGCACGACGAAGACATTCCTCCATGGTATGACATGTCTTTTCCATCTTTGTTATGAGTGTAGGTAGAACTAGAAAGACACTCTTAGATTACAATGGTTGAGCATATTTTATAGTGTAAAATAAATTACTAGTACTCTTTTTGAAATGTTAACCGGTTTCAACGCATGAATGGAATTACGGCGCATTAAGTTTTGTGTGTAGAGGAATTTTTGTAGACCTATTGTGTAGTGTAACATGTGGTTGGATGCCTGCATAAGGGAAAGACTTGCATAATAAAATGTTAACTAAGGCGTGTTTTATGATGCAACAAATTAAGAAACTGGTATCGAACCATTGCTAATGAGTTCGTTGATGAGATTGTTGTAGTACTGCAGTCCCTTCGGATTTACGGGTCCTCTACCATCTGGGGAGAAATAAAAACATTTGCAAAAGTGTATAAAAAAACATAAAAATTCAGTGTTTTTATGGAAAAGTATTAAAGTTGAAGATGAGTATAAGTACTTGGTATCAATCTGGACCAAGAAATGGAAAATCTATAGGCATCAAGGCCTGTTTCAACCATGAGCTGCACATCTTCCTGCATTAATATTTGTATTGTCTTAACCAACTAGTGCTTGAAATTAACAAATGAATCAGAAAGATAGAAGTTTTGTGTATTGTTTACCTTGTATTTGTGGTACGCGTCGCAGGCTACATCTCCATTTCCACCATGCCCAAACCCTTAAATTGCAATAACAAATCATATTCTAAAACTGTTCAGATGAATGATGAGATGAAATAGGAAGAAAAAGACGGATAACTAAAAACCGAACCAACAAAGGATTAGCTATGGTTATTAATGCAGATCTTATAGCAGCAGCACTCCATTCTGGATGTGCGGATTTCAGAAGAGCAGCAACGCCGGAAACATGAGGGCAAGCCATGGATGTTCCTGACATGAAGTTGAAGTCACTTGATAAGAACACGTTTGCGCCGATTCTACCTGATGCTTTACCAGGAACATAAGCAGCGAGAATTCTAGAGCCAGGTGCCATTATGTCAGGCTTTAAAGTCCATGGAAAGCTATGTGAAGGACCTTTTGAAGAGTATTGTGCTGTAGTTGGTGTTGGCTTTATTCCAACATGTGTTTGTTGAAACCTAATACTTGCTGTAAACTCAAATCACAATGCCTCAGTATATGATGTTTGCGGCATGTTGATGTAAAGAGCAATGGAATTGCAACAAGTCATAAAATAAACTTTATCATTCTACAACCCAAACCAAAAAACATATGCGACTGAAGTTGAATTTCACGAGAACAAAGATAGTTAAACCACCAGTTTTACACAATGATCGAAATAGCTACATAAAAAACAATACAAAGAATGATTTCAGGGTGTTACCGATGTGCGTAAGTTGATTCTGTTGCCGCTACGATGTCAGATGCAAAAAAAGCAGGTCCTTGCAGCAGGGGCTGAACCGTGTGATATTGTTGCTGCCACTTACGGGGGCTGTTGTCGTTACGCTAGCAGAGGCTTTGCTGAGGATTTCATAGCAGCCGGTTCAAAGTTGTCGTGAGAATGGTGAATGAAGGTGAGTGCGTGGTTGTTGTCTGCTGCTCCAGAGTGTTGCTCGAAGTGAAACCGTTGTAGATACCAGTCGGTGTCGTCGTTGCTGCTTATACTTTGCCGAAAAAAATGAGAGAGAGAAGGGCTAGGGTTGATGGCAAAAAATGTGAATCGAAGTCTTCGGATGCTAGCATGGAGGAATCGAAGTTGATTCGGCCATTTCCAGCATTTTCGGGAATATTTGAATGCTCCATGATGATGTTGCTAGCTATAAACAAAGTAGCAAGGAAGTGATTTGTCTAGTAGCAGAATACATAAGTTGATGATGTTTGCTTTGCATAACCCTTGAATATAAACTGGTCCTGGTCCTGAAGGAACATGATTTCCGCATATCGTCTTCCACATTAAAAGCTTCAATACTGTTTCTGAGACTGATTCTTATGTCCTTGCTTTTGGGTTACAAAATCTCCACGACAAAATGAGATTGCTTTTTCTCCCAGAATCACTCCACTTTGATTGCTCTTCTGTTGGACTGCGGGTGTTTCTTTCAACATGCATCCAGAAATCATCAACAGTTTGATTGGAAACTTCTATATCGGACAGCAACTGGTGACTCTGATTTTCAATACTGCCGCCACCATTATTCATATATGCATGTGAAACTGTTTCGTCACAAATAGGCCCCAGGCCACAAAGAAACATATTTGCATCTTGGTACGTATCAAACTCACAGCTTTTGTAATTTATATGAGTATTTTTATGAATTGTTAGGGAATATTTTTATGAACACATCATAGATGCTTGCCATAACACAGAAAGAAAGAGTACCGCGAAAATCCTTATCCATCCAAAAGCCTCGGTGCAGTAGAGTTTATAGATATTAAAGCTAACTTTACCGATTTCTCGTTCTTCTTCTTTGACAAGTTTAGAACTTCCCTTAGCTGAATTAGGTTGGTCAAGAGAATTACTTTCACCATTGGTTTCTCTGCTGTTGTTAGACAAAGAACTTAGATATCATATGCTCATTTGAATTTTCACCAGGCATGGCTGCGCCTTGTTCTACAACCATTCCAAAAGCTGATGGGACACTTATACCATGTCTTTCTATATCTTCTTCAGCAAATGACCCTGAAATTAACAGAATTGACTCATTTAGCACTGATATAATTTGGCCAAAGAATTATAAAATTGTTTTGCAATATCTTAATGCTTACGCAATTTTTGGGCAATTGAAGCAGCCTCGGCAACATGGCTATCATCAGAAAAAAGAGGAGAAAGTTCCATCAGATCACCAGGGCTGCTATTGAACTCCATTAAATACTGTAGAAATTAATCAACCATAAAACTCACCACAAACAATCCATATTTCACATTGTAAACAAGCTCATTCAATAAAACTCCATCGTGCGACAACGCACCACTTTCTGTCGTATAAAAAAACAACATTCAACCATCCGAACTCATCAAACCTAACCTGTTTCCAATAACCTTATCCCAATTCTGCATAAAGAGCATAAACACAATCGTAAACGAGTTGTGCCACCAAATCCCAATTCTGTACATGGAAACAAACAACGAACTACAATTACAATTAAGGAACTTTCAGCAATTATTACATACAAAAACAGAAATATAAACCTCAAAATTGACAAGGCAGCAGTCCCTCATCAGATGAAGTTGTGATACCTTAGGTTTTATGTATCTCACATTCACTTTCTCTATTATGGAATCTATTAAGTTATCATTCATTATTGATGAATAGAACAAACGCCTCTTGTCATGATAATCACCTGCATCTTTGACAACCTGAAATAAAATCAGAAGCAATAATTACAATGACATACATTTTAACATAAGTAAATAAATATCATGAAATACTCGGTACTCACTGTATCTTGAATTCTGTCAAACCTAACCTGAAGAACAACAAACCTCCCTTCGACCCACCTTACTCCGCCGCACGCCGCAATCAACATCAGAAACCCATCGAAACCGTTAAACACCGGAAACATCCCTCCGTTAACATCAAAACAGAACCGGGCCTAAACCCTTCTTTTAACCCTAACTTCAACATCCGAAAATATTCAACACAGAATCCACATTCCATCTCTCACCATTAACAGAACCACACACAAAACGCCGGAAAACTCCTTCAAAACCTCCATCGGAACCCCTTCCAGAAACCTTCACCTCCGACCGTTAATCCATCCCTCACTTCAAACTGGCTTCAAACCCATTTCATCCGTAAATCCAACTTCAAAACACCCCCAAAACCAGAACCGAAAGTGGAAGAGAGATTCAAAGTGAAACAACCGAACACCCAATCATAAACCCTAACCCCTCTTTCAGTAATCCAAATCTCCATTCCTTCCGCCGTAAACCTCAAACTTCAATCGATTTCCATCATCAAAACCAATCCGTTCAGAATAATCATCATTAACAAACGTAAACCAGATTCAGAAATAGAATAAAAGGAGATGGAGAGAGTTTGAAACAGAGAGCCAGTCAAACGAGATTGAGAGAGGGGAATCCGAGTAATGATACGAAGAAGAAGGCTCTTGGCTTCTAATTGTTTTTCTTTGCTGATTTATTTTTACTTCTTATTTCTTTATTTCTTAAGGGTTTAATAGCGCTTTTTATAAAAGCGCTATCTTAAAACACAATGATAGAAACGATAGCGGTTTCTTAGAAAGCGCTATTGTAGTTACATATTTTAATAGCGATTTTTAAAAAGCGCTATCGTAGTGCTTTTAATAATAGCGCTTTTATAAAAGTGCTATTGTAATACAACATTTTAATAGCGCTTTTTAGAAAAGCGCTATCTTAATGAATATCTATAATAGCGCTTTTTTACAAAGTGCTATCAAAATCATATTTTTTGTACTCTTTAATAGCGCTTTACTATAAAACGCTATTATAAATATGTTTGTTTCCTTTTTAATAGCGCTTATTTTAAAAGCGCTATTAAAGTAGGCGATACAAAAAAGCAATTTTAGCGTAGTGGTTCCAACATGTTATATGTTTCTTGGGAAGAACATTAGAGCGTGTCTTTTATCTGAGAAAGACAAGATCATGGAAAACATGGTGTTTTTCTTTTCTGAGCTGAGCTTGACGCAATATTCGATTATGTGTGACTATAAACCTTCAGTGATTGTTGCTTCTGCGGTGTATTGTGCAAGAATGGTTATTGGAAGATATCCTCTTTGGAGCCATGATTTGAATGTTTGTTCTGGATATTCCAAAGAGAAGTTAAAGTCTTGTGCTAGAGTTATGATGAATTTATGCAATGAAATATGTAGAGATGAAAGTATGCAAGTTTTTAAGAAATTTTCAAGTTCATTAAGATGGAAGGTTGCGCGTATAGCTAAACAAATTTTTTTAATAAATCATCCCAATCTTAGTGTTCATTTTAAGATGTGAAATATCCATGCGTCGAATTTTGATGTTTATTGGAAGAATCCTAAACAAACTAGATACCTATGTTATTTGTTTTTATTC